CTAAGTATAAAATTCAATTTCCATTATAAGACCAAAATCTGAAATGCAACCCCATTCACAAATCTTACCATATGGCTTATTATTTTGTGATTATTAGAGATTTCAGTACGATTAAAAATTGTAAAATATTGTTTTAAAATATAAACCAGGCTTAATTAATCTAAAATTAATAATATTTTACCTTCGGATTCGTCTGCGGACTCTAATTCCTTGGTGTCGTCATCGGTGGCATCGTTTTCTTCTTTGGAACTTGTTGCATTCTCCATCATTTTATCCAACATATCCCCAAGTACCACAAAAATTGGTTCCACGATGAAATCGATAAAGCCTATTTGCAAACATTGAAACCGAGATAAGTTATTCATGTAAGCAAATAATTAGAGCGTCTTTGACATAATTTTCTCTCTGAAACGCCTGGAAATCACTCACCACGCCATGAACAACGCATAATTCGACTATATTCGACGCACAAATATCAGGTGAACTAGAAGGGCACAGTTTCTCTGTAAAATTAGTTTTTATTTACTCAATGATAGAGGGGAATGATTCTCTTGACCTACAATGAAATATATCTCAACTACCTAACCATTATTGATTTTCGCGAAAAGTTGTCACCCACCAATTTGAGACTGAGGGAGTACCACTGTGTTTCTATCGCAAAGTGGTGAAATCGGCATTCCCAGTTCCTTCTCCCGATCGCCCTAAATTCAGTGAAAATGTAAAAAACAATAATAATAAAGCCAATTTTGCATTTCCACTTAATTATGTAAAAAAGGGGTTAAAACTTACCTGTCTAAAAAACTCTTCACAAAGCACCATGGACCATTCCTTGTGAAGATTCCATTGTTTCGCTGGATGAGCAATATCAGCGCAGTGCACAAGCAAAGAAAGTGCTTTTAGTTTGTCAATTCTAAAAAAAGGAAAAAGAGCATTATTTATCAATGCTTATCAAATGGGAATGCAAGTGGACAAATGACTTACATTTCTGGGATGGCAATGAGATTTTTCATCGTCTTTACTTGGGAGAAGTGGAGGGACATATCAGTATTGAGAACCATGTCAATTACGGCTGTTCGAAATTCTCTACAAGGAACATCCCATCCCATTGGGGATATTACGCTTCAAAGCTTGCAAACCGAATGACCTCACTTTAATTTAGCTATTTTAAACGGATCCTAAAGAACGCTCGATATTATGTGCAATTTCATCTTAAAAATAATTTTTTCCTAATAATTCCAGGAAAGTGCTAACCCTGAACTGTCTTTAGCCACCATCTTCTAAGAGTGGACTTGAAGTCTATTGTTACATACAAAATCATGTAATGACCATGCCCAGGGTAAAAATGCCGTCGAAGCTACGTGAGTGGAGTTACCAACGCGGTGATTTTATATGATCAAAAATTTAATTGATTCATGCTAGCTTGAACATACTGACTGAGCACCAAGAATAAGAAACGTTGAGTTACGTTTGCTCACACACACACACACATCTAATGAACCTTTTCATTCACCTCAACCAACTAACTAAAACTTTCGGAGTCTATGAGTCATTTAACTCACCCCAGCATGAACACGTTGGACAGTAGAGCAGTTTTACCTGAATATGCTTTTGATCTTGCATTCAAATCTGCCTCTAAGACAGACTGGTGATCACAATTATGCTTGTAATTAAGTTCTACTTCAAAGTGTGTTCACGCATCACTGCCATACTGCTTTAAGCAAAGATTTCTACAAGATTTATATTGGTGGGAATGGGGTGTGCGATAGACCTACCTCCACGTGGTGCACCCTGGGCAACGTATACCCATACGACAAAAAAGTCTATTAGCCAGCAGTTGACTTCTCACTTCACAAAAAAGTCTATTAGCCAGCAGTTGACTTCTCACTTCAAACTGCCATGAGCTGACTCCATGTCATATTCGATCATTTTCACAGTACTCACCTCACCTTTTTTCTACCTTTGTGTCTGTCTCTTTTGCATCTTTGTAACGCTCTACTGTTCCTCCCCCCCTCTCGACTTTTTTTCACTTTGATGTTCCTTCCCCTCTGTGGCGCCTGCAGTCAACTAAAGGGCTAATGATACCTATCAAAACGCCTGCCATTTGATATAAATAAATAAATATTTGTGGGAATAAAAAACACCTACTGATACTGCTCCCTGGACATCTTTTCGAAGATGTTGAATTCCGCTTCCTGAGTAATGCGAAAGACAGCACTGACATGGAAATTTTCAAGAACGTTTCGATCATTGTAGAGCATCGCCAACTCAGTTCTACAAGATATCAAAGCGAAGTGGGCATTAAAGGTTGTAACTCAAAGAGGAATATTGGTAGATGAAATTGATCACGTCTCTAAATCTAGTCAGTCATTCAGAACTTGCCGATTTGGTAGAAGCTAGACCGTTTTAAAATTGTCTCCTTAGTTCAGTTAGGGTAGGTTTCAAATACAAGCTTTCGTTACCACAAGATAGTGTGCAATATACACACTTCTAATCTTTCGGCATAAATTATTAGCAAAATTGATGTTTTCTATCATAACTTCATTTTACATGTTAATTTTGATTAATATTTTTATTCTTATACTTAACTTGCCTTCTTTTGTTTAAGTTATATCTTATGATTCTAATATTTTTGTCCTCAAGGTTACAGCAATTGTAGACTGTTCATTTACATGACTTACATAAGACAATTGAGAGCTTTAACACCGTGATTACGATATTATAGGAAGAGTTTGGACCGTTTTGTGTCGTATCAATTACCCTGTTAATTATGGCAACGTTAATTCAGGGGTTCGTACATGGGTTTTAGAATTGCAAGCGGCCCAAGACCTACTCATTGACGAGAACACGGCAAGGCTAAATCTTTTTGCAATATTTCATTTGCACGGCAATTGTGACACGCAAAAGACTGAGTTTGACAAGAGTGAATGATATTTGCACATATTTGAATACTATTTTCATTTCCCTCTCCTTTCAATTAGGTAAGCAAGATTTCCAATTAAAATCGTATGTTGACAGTTAAAAGATATTCATAGTGCTTAATCCAATGGCAAAGAATGAAACAAAAACGTCGACGTGATTTGGTTTTTCTAATCCAGGACAAAAAAACATACGTCAAATGGCGCAAATGAAGTAAAACACACAAAAAATACTTACTGTGTTTGAATGTGGAAATTATTTGTTGTTCCAGTATGCTCAAAATCATGGGCAAGGGCTGCGAAGATAACTGAGAATATATCCAGATCTGATAGGTAGTCCTAAAATTATCAAGCAATTAAGACTTATTTAGAATTAAAAAAAGTGACCAATCACATTCGTTGCTTGCAAAGTGATGAACTAATCAACTTACTCGAAGTTTACTGGTGGTAAGAACAACGTGGCATGTTTGGGCCACATCAGCTGCATGAATTAGATTGTGATATGGATTTTTGTATTTACTATAGCCAATCTCCAGTCTAAGTAGAAGGTTCTCAAGTTTCGCTCCATCAATCTATACATATACATGCAGAAATAATTCAATTAGTCGACCATCTCAAGAAATTGGGTTTATGTGAGCTATTACCCTTACCTGAAACTTTGTGATCAAGTCGTATTTATGTAGAAGCTCAAATCCCACGTACTTCAAAGCATGGTTTTGACTAACTTCGTTAAATTCGAAAATATCGAAGTTCCATTCATCCAAACCACCCTAGATTGACAATAAAGCGTAAGGAAAATTAAGTATATAATTTTTCTATAAATATATAGCTTTAAAAAATACAATTAGGTTTATTATTCAATATAAACTTCAATTGTCTCAAAAGTACTTTTAAAAGAAGAACTACGTTTGGAGGGAGAGTAATGCATGTGCAGCTCGACATTCGACGATAAATTCTAAAATGAAATAATTTGTGAAACATTTTAATGTATAGAATTACATCTTTCAATTAAAAAAGATATAAGAGACCGCATTTAATCAATTTTATCGGTCAAATTAAATGCCTTGATTAAAGTATGTCCGATCAAATGTTTCTAGTTGATAGAGAAATGCTTGACTAATATTACTTTCTTGGAATTCATTGGTTCCTATTTCAATACTCTACAATCTGCTTATATCGTGGTATTATTTTTATGTATAGGTTTACTTTTATAATTTTGTTTGCATTTTAAATTTTTTTATTTTTCAATTACGTTCACCATTCAGCAAATTCATTCTCCCACATAGTATGCACATCCTCCCCAACATTATAACGAAGTCCTTAATTTTTCAAAGTTTCCTAACACCGGAAGTTGTTCTATCAAAGAATGCTTTAAGATATGCCGCATTGGCAGTCAATATTCGAACCTCGTGATTTTTGTGGAGTTTCGTTTTCAGAGATGTGCGTATACTTTCACCTGAAGGAGTCGAATGTTGTTCGACCAAGTTCCGAGAGTAGCCTCACCTGCAGAAACCTTTGCTCCCACCAACATTTTACAACTATATTAGTTTATATATATATATATATATATATATATATATATACCCACTCTTTGGCTTCAGTAATGTTTAAATCATTCCTCGTGCTGAAAGCTTTCTAATTTCAGTTTTGGTTCTCTGTCACGTCCCGTTATTCTCAAAACTCACGCCGTTAAATTTAAATTCGAATATTTACTGACCGTCCCCGACTGCTCTCTGTCTACTGGAAGTGAATTTCGTACAGTTGAAAGACTTCATTCGTTATTTTGCATTGATTACATTAAAACTCTCTTAACTTGATATTGGTATATTTTCAAAGTGTTCGCCCTTTCGGTAAAGTAACTACACAAGCAAAACTCTCAGAGCAAATAACTTATTTTTAGAAAGGCTAAATAAAGGAAAATGGGTGAACGTTTTCTGACCCGTATTACCTTTCATTCTATTCAATACTCGGAATATGCCAAAATAGCAATAATCAGGTATTGCATGTAGCACCGACATGGGGAAAATGTGTCTCACCTTTCGACCACAATTCCGGCTCTAATTGCATTGACCACAGATCTGAATCGAGGCTTGACAATGCGTCTTCCGGCAGATGATTGGTGGCGAGTGAAGGTCGAAGCTAGCCAATCGCGTACTTCATCTGGCACATCCGAACAGGCTGTATCAGAGAGCTCATCATCCTCATCTTTAAGACGTCTAGAAAAATTTTGTCTGAAGTCTGATACCTCCATGATAATGTGAATTTGCATTAATAGTTTTATTAAAAAAGGTCAATTTGAATTCAATAAATTGCTCTTACATAAAAGCATATTCTATAATATATTACATTCATAACTCAAATGCATAAATAAAAATATAATTATTTAAGTATAACTTAACTAATTAAATTAAAGAAATCTGTCTTTAACTAGCATATTAATCTGATTTTAAGATGGTAATTGCAAACTTACTTTGTTTCTTCAATGTAGGTCTTCTCAACAACTTGAAGAGCGTAGTTGAGATTTTCAATCAATACCGTTTTCGTAATTTTATCTTGTTCTGTCAATTTCACAATTTTTCGAAGTCTGAAATGCAAAGAATACGTTGCTCATATTTATAGAAAGGTTCAATTCAAGTTAGCAAAAAACAGACCGAAATAGTGGTTTTTCTCAACCCTACAATACCTCTCAAGAACATTCAGTCAAGTTTTTTCATCACTAATCTTGGAAACTTCCTGATGAGGGACTCGAATGTTCAACCATACTTGACCAGTACGCTCAGTTATTCCACATTATTTTGATAAATTTATTTCACTTTAATTGCCCCCCCCCCCACTCCCCAAGAAAAAAATAGGGAGTCCGAGGGCGAAGGTCTTTTGGGGATGTCGTGTAATTTAATTGCTAATTTTATCTCAAGAATTGAGGTTTGTGTATTTTTAGTTTTTCCGGTAATTAGACCGCCAAAGTGAAATATTTTATTTGAATAGAGACGCTCACCTTACGACATTCAAAGTTGAAAAATTATAACTTCTCTAATCCCATGTGAAGCTATTGTAAGGAGATATACCAATTTAGCCAATTAACCCCCTATAGATTTATTGATCTTTTCAATGATAACGAGACACGTATCAATCTTTTAATGAGTGAAACGCCATTAATTAAATAGGCTGGGGGGGGTGCTATTTGGCAAGCGGAAATGAGGGTCAGTAGAAAGTGGGAAGGGATGAAATGATGATGATTGACCAAACACCCTTCCAAAGTAGCCAATCAATGAACTCCAAAATTTCAAACACGAAGTAGGCCAGTAAAATAGGAATAAATCATAAAACGTGAACTCTGTAGAGCATTAGGTTATTGCCAAATACATTATTTCATGGAAAGAAGGGGGATTCATGACATCCACCATGAAATGAATGAATCTTTTTCTTAGGTTTAAAATCTAATATTTGTTCTGCCCGCATTTCAAGGAACACTGCTCTCCGGCTTCCATCGATCCGTACAATTTTAAATGCGGTTATACCATTCAATAAAAACTCATCCGAAAAGTCAAAAGTCGACGACATTGAATTTTACAGCACTGAGTGGTGCTCTCTAAATTGCCTACTTACTACTTATTTTATGTAAAAAACTTTGCCCATTTTGAAACTTTGTGGGAGGGGATCTTAAGTTCATTCATCTAAACGATTTTTTGATAGGTTGTGTCATGTTGATTTACCTCAATTCGATTTCTTAAAAAGACGTGTTTTTATCGGATTCTTAAAATTCTAAAATTCTTTAAAGATCAAATGGGATAGTAATTTCCAGAATCCTTGAGAATTAAATAATCTTTCATTTAATTTAAGGCATCTAAACTTGGGGCGCTTGGGGGTCTAATATGCTCCATTTAATACTTTTCAATTAAGAACTTAAAAGGCTAAAATAGTTCTTTCATACTTGGCCCACCAAATCAAACTTTTCCTAATTATCTATCAAAATACTCTTGATCGAGTAGTCCCGGATCTTTCTGCCAATTTCAGCAAAGCATGATAAGACTCTTAAATAGGAAAAATCAGTAGCATCAATTGAAAAAAAATTTGCAATACGTAATATTTAAACTGAATATGCCAAAAAACAAAGACAAATATATGCCTTATTTTTATCCAAGCGAAGAGACGCTTAAAATGTTTAAGTAGAGGTGCTAAATTTGGAATGAAAAGACTAACCTTAAGACACAAGCAAAGGTTGAATCTGTAGATCCTGGAATTGGTAGACCTTCAACTGAAAGCCGTCGTTTTGCATAGATTGCTACTGAAGAGTTGGAAAGGCTCGGAAACTCCTTTTCATAATTTGGACCACATTTTATGGCTTCTTCATTCTCATCATTAACTCCATCTAATAAATACAATAAAACTCAATGATTATAATAGTTTCCACTGAAAAAATAATTATCAGGGCATTCATTTACTTAACTTCATTTTGCATGCCTATTTGCGATCACAGATGGTTTCAAAGTAAACTTTAAATACACAATGAAGATCCGTCAAAGGCAGTATTTTGATTGGTCAACCTTATCCAATAGGAATATAGTTGGGATTTAAGTATGCCTGGAATATTTAATGACTGTAAAAAGGACGACTGAAACTGATTTGCTGGTATCATTGTCCTCACTTATTTAATCGATTTAAATATTTGTCTAAAACTTGTGAAAACGTTGCGTGAGTTGAAATTAGGCGGGACTTTTGTTAAATGACATCGGTCATGTAAGTAGTATTTAATAGGGCTGAATCGCGAAACATAATAAGACCTATTAGAGTTTCTTATTTTTTAAATAAGAAACAGTAAGATTAAATTTGGATTAAAACTGGCTGCCAATTTAAGATGGGGAGTTAAATAACTCAAACATTGAATTCAATGTCTGATTTTATGAAGTGCAAAAATTCATCCCATTGCTTGTAAAGCTGGTATGACTCATACACCAGGCAAACAAGGCTCAACTCTGATTATTTTAAATTGGGAAAAGGAAATTGTGACTTTGGACCTCCCCGATGTTATCTGAATTGTGTGCAATTTGCTGCCTCTTTCACAGTTTTTTGGCCACCAAGTAGCTCTCATTTGCTCGAATTCCTCTAACCAACTCCAAACTGAATCACACTCTCAGCTCTAGCGTTACGAAGTTCCCGCTTCCCTTGGGTTCTTCTACTAACCCTTAAAGGCCAAATTATTTTTTGAAATGCATCCAACCACACTCGCATGTGTCTCACAGCAGACTGATTCCGCCGACGTGTTGAGTTTTGATGGTATTAGATGAAGACTATAGACACGCCTTGAACATGTTTCAAGTCTAGTTCCAATTGAGCTTAATTTGAAGGAGGACCGTACGGTCCTCAAGGTCTTAATGGTTATGATCACTACCTTATTGGCCATGCCTGAACTTTATTCTTGCAGTAGCTGAGTTCGTGCATTTTCGTGGAACACAAGCTTGGTAGGTTCTGGACATCTCACATTGGCTTCATCTAAATTATAGCTTCGCCCAATAGAAGTCTATTCTCTTTGGTATTAGCAAATATATGATTGTGTTTTGGCATTCTTTTGAGTGTTTATTCATTCTATAAAACCTAAACCCTAAAACAACCACCCAAATGGGAAAAAAAATATCATTTAAAAGAATTAAACTGACATATATATATATTTATAATTCCAATTCCTTGGAATAATACTCTCATCTCAGTTATTGTGAAAGGAAATTCGAAGTACCTTTATCCTCCTAATCATGGAGTCAACATTGCCATTTGTAGGTTCGACGGGTTTGTCATTTGTAAACTTACCTTTTACTAATTTCCTAGTAAGTAGTATTCGCCTCGTTTAAATGAACTAATATTTAAGCAGATGCATTATCAATTTACTGCTTTTTTAGGGTAGTAGGTTATCTAAAAGGGAACTAAATCTTTGAAAATATTCCCAAAATGGGAGCCATAATCATACGCAGACTTAAGTATTTGTTTATTACCATGGATAATGGGTTTGGGTAATATATTCTAACAATATACCATCAACAAGCGAATTATTCATTCATGTACTTGCTTCGTGGTTAAATTCAGAATTTTTTAGCAATTCTTGAAAAAAATTAATAACATAGCTTCATTGTGAAAAAATTAATTATAGAGACTTTGAGGGCTGAAATTGTAAAGAACTGTTAAAAGGCAGCTAATCAACCTCTCTGAAGCTCTTAAAACAACTATTCAATTTTAAAGTTCCTAAAATTAGTTTTTTTAATATCCGATTAGGAGAAAACGTAATTAGAATATTTTATGCAAGAACGTTGTGAGTAATTGGGCCATCAGTTAACCTACTTTAAGCTCAACTACAACTAAACGACATTTAAGCTTATGATGAACTGTACTATTGAAATTGGTGATGAAAACAGAATAGTCTCCTGTCCTATTCCACATCTGGTCAGAGCTTGCCATTGGTAGCAGTTCACTAGGTGTGAAATTTAAGTGAGTTTGAATGCACTATTGCAGTTCAAAGCTAATTATCTTTCATCTTTTCTTCCAGTGGACACTTTTATTTACCTAATAAGATTTTTAAATATGAAGGAGTCATCACTAAAATTTTAGACATTTAAGATCAAACTTTGATTCCGCTTACCTATAGAAGACAGGGAAAGTCTTTCAACCCTTGAAGGCGGAAAACCCGGACTCAGGTCTTGGCTCTTTCGTTTCAATCTCATATCGGAAAAATCGTCGCTGTCTTCAAAGGCCTCTTGTTGCACTTCGCCAGAGGTCACGGGATGACTGAGTATATCCTGGATGGTCTGTCGAATCTGCCGCTGTTGTTGGGGCTCGAGTTGCTGATCAATTCGATGCTGTTGTTGGTAACTCCTTACTGCGTTTCCAATATGTTCCGGTGTGATCGACTCTTCACACTCTGAATAGCACGCTCCCATCTACAGGCTGGGGGTAAAAGTGCGTTATCTTGGACTGTTAAACAATGTAAAAGTCATTTCATAGGCATAGTGATGTAAGAGTGAAATGAACTCCTTCAGTCAAATAAGTGACTTGAAGTATTTAAGTTCTGTCTGCTTAAGAATTATAAATTTAGGATTTTGTAAAAATAGACGTCTTTGAATTGGAGGCTGGTAACATCTTTAAAAGCTCAGTTGCTAGGTGAAAACTGAAATGATGTTAGTCCCGTAATTAACCCCCTCCTGTAGGATTCAAACAGATTTTTTAGACTTCCAACGCCCGATCTAACGGCGAGATCTTTATTAAATGAATTTTGAAAGTTTAAACTCTAGTGGGAATGAATTAGGGACAAATAACTCTCTCCACAAGTCCTGAAGCAACTTTCCCTAGAAGAAACTGGTGTCCCAAGGTGGGTTATGGGCTCCTAGTTAGAAGCACTCCAGTGAAATCATTACGAGAAATTAGATTCTATTTCTTAGTCTAAAAAGCCAATAAGACTTCTTCATGAATTCTATCGGTATTCCACCTCTTATAAACCATAAATATTAACATTATTTATTCATTTGCATTTTTGCTAATCTTTTAGACTTAAATAGAAACCTAGATATGTAGGTTAAATCAAAAATAATTACAAAATTTCACTGTTTTAAAACCACAGGCAAAATAAGGATTGCAAGAATTATTGGAGCAGCAAGAACTTAGAATAGAAAATTTGTGTTTCGCTCTTTCAGAAAGTGCTCAAAGCTCCAATGAAAGGCAGTCAAAACTCCAATTTGGTTAAATTTGTTTAACTAATTAGTTAGACTGATGGAAAGATTATTTTCATAATTTATTTTCAAACATGTTGGAGTTTGTTTACCAGTGGCTGGAATGTGTGGAATTAAGCCAACAAAAGACGGTTTTCATTGTTGAAAGGTCATAGTAAAAGCAACTGCCAACAAAGCAACCATTATCTCAAATCGCCGAGTTAAATAAATGTCTAGAAACGAAACTGATTTAAAAAATAAAAATGTGTTGAATTTCATTTATCAGAACTGGAAGGATTATTTTGTTTGAAAGATATATACATGGATGCCACATGGTAGGAAAAAAATTAATGCTGTTATATTTTTATAAAATAAGTTCTAAAATTAATACTTATTTTTGAAGTTAAGAGGTTACTTACCTCAGCTCCAAGAGCCATAGACTAACAAGCAAACTGTCTTCTTTATGAGAGAAAGCGAGAAAGAGAGGGAGAGAGAGAGAGAAATTGGAAGTGGAGATTTAAGCGCGCAAGAACTCAAAGTGAGTTATGTGACCGTGTGACTTTAGAGAGACGTCCACACCACAAGGCCACAACTCGTCTTTGGGCGTTCACTCGAATTCTCTGTGGGGCGTCAACCACGTCAACTTCTCCACCAAACTCCCATCTTCCCCGCCCCCCCCCCTCTCCCCACTCCCACCCCATTCTACTAAACTCCCTCCCAACTCTTCACTTTAAGTCATCGTCCCCTGCTCCCTACTAAGGGGTATTTCCCTTCCCATAGCGATTAAAATTAAAGGGTTGTAGGAATCAACTATTAATAACTCATCGTGTTCGAGCAGCTAAAATTAGAGACTATTTCTTGCCTGTTCTCCACGTGGGTCGATGTTTTATACTCTACTTTCTTTTTATAAGGAGGGGAAGTTAGAGGGTCCTTTTTATATGCATCATTATGATGGGTGTTTTCTCTTAATGCACTTTGATGCTTTATAAAGTATACTCTAGTGGGGGGATGGGAATGCCTGCAATAAGTTTATTTAAGTTTATATTATCCTGTGTTAGTGGTCTAACCAACTGTAAATCACAACAGTAATATTCTGAATAGTTCACAGACCCAATGTCTCAGTTACCCACTTAACTAGCAACCATGGCTTCACTATTGCTTATAATTTAATCTACACCATTGGCAATCTCTATCTGCTTAATGTGCTGCTGCATACTAACTTGAATTAGTGAACACTTAGGTTAGACAGGTCCCTTCCCTCCATTGGTGCAGTCAATAATAATAATCTCTTATGAACGATCGTGTTAATAGGTTCATAAATCGACTTTACATTTCTGTTTTGTCCTCTTCTCATTCTCTCTCCATTTCCCTCTGAGTATGAGCAAACTAAAGTCTCTTAGGAAACGCCTTATAGTTCTAGATGAACGCCGTTTCAAAACCCCAGTGAGTTCTGTCATTTTTACGCTCATTTGTGATGGATACGCTGCAGTTGAGAAGAAGTTGATAATGCAACCCCCCCCCCCCCGCGTCCCAAGTTAATTCCACATTCCTTCCAAATTCAATAATAAGTTTTGGAATGCAAAATGAAGAAAACTTAGGCGTAACTTGCAATATGTTAGTTAATCGATAATAAATTAATTGCAGTTCGAAAGAACTGGGAATATAGGTTGAACTCGAAGAAGAAGATTGATTTTATCACTGTCATTCAGTCACCGACTCGCGATAATCCCATTGGCTACTCCTATTACTTTTTTATCAAGAAAATGTTCCTGATTGCTTACTCATTAGTCCCCTATTTCTGCTCTTTCCATCGCACTCATGTTAACCAAAAGAAAGAGGAGTAGAAAGATCGATAATTAGTATCAAACTTACTAAAAGGCCACTCCATAAGATGAGGGACACTTTGTCGTTGCCCATGATGTAGATTTCCATTTTGGCCACCATCGAGAAGTCTAAATGAACTTTAGGCGAATTTACTGAAGGCAACTTGATTTTTGACCCTTTAATGGTCTTATGACCGTACAGTCCTCTTTCAAACTAAGCTCCATTGGTACTAGACTCGTAACGGAAGGCACTATTGGCATTGGAAACATGCTCAATACGTCTATAGCCTTCCCCTGGTGCCACCAAAACTGAAGGCAGATTGATTCTTTAAGTAGTAATTATTTAAAAATTTTTGTCTTTTTAATATGGATTGCGTCGTTTAAGGAATGACAAAGGGAATATCCTCAACTGCAATTACATCCTTTTTTGTCTTAAATGGTCTTTGATTCCCAAAATAAATTATTCAAGTATACGCATTTTTTCTATAATTGTCATAATTTGTTTGCCGTTGTCTAAAAATAGGCAAGCCAATTATGTTCGGCAATTAGCAAGTCATATGGCCCAGTAATTCGAATTGCCTTTTAATACAGGCGCTATTAACATACTCTATTTCTAGCAATGATGAATAATTTAATTATAGGAAGTTAAAGCAGCATGGCCTATCTCATTTTTTGGCTGATATTCTGAAGGCTATGACAAACATAGTTTGTGCTCAAAATCGGTTGTCACAAAAATGGCTTTCTTTTCACGGGATTTTCTCAGGCATTCATCAGCTTCTCACCAAAGTACTTTTTCTCGAATGTGGTCGAATTGCTATTAAGTAGTTGTTCGTTAGAAATTATAGTTGTGAACTGTTTTTGCATCCTTTAATGAAATTAAATTTTATGCCGTCTCACGACAGAGTAATAGATGGTGCAGTTGGATATCCATATTTATAAATAAGGATTGATGAACATTATTCATGTAACTTCTGACCTGAGATCCTTCGCCTCTGAAAAGATCATTGGAACTCTGGTTATCTTTAAATACATCCATGAACGATACAATAAAAAAATTATTCTCAAAAATCGGCCTGCATTCGAAGGTATTTGTTTCTATCAAATGGCAGGCTTTATGATAGTTATCATTGGCCCTTTAGTCGACTTCAGGCTTCACAGAGGGGAAAGAATAGATAAAAGTCATAAAAATGTAGTGAGGAACAGAAGAGTGATTCACATAAGTAAAAGAGACAGACACAAAGGTGGAAAAAGGGTGGCATGAGTACTGTGGATGTGGTCGAATATGATATACAGTCGGTTCATGGTAGTTTGGAGTCAGAAGTCAACTTCCGGTTTATAGAATTTTCAGTCGCATAAGTATGCGTTCCCCAGCGTTCACCACGTGGAGGTAAGTCTACTACACACTCTGCATTCGAAGGTAACGCAATAGAAACTCGATTTCTGCCACCTGTATTAAAATCGATAATCCACTCACGCCTATGAAAAACAAGTGAGCCGATTTGTACATTTACCGTTACGCTATGGATAAAGAGCATTGTATTTAATCAATATTATTGACAAATAAATTTAAAATGGTTATTTTCAGAACCACGCAGTAGGGATCAAAAGAGTTTAATAAAGCTTGCCTTTTAGGGGAAATACAAAATTGTTTAAAATTAGCTAAGCAGATGAGAGATGGAGATGCAGTGTTTGGGCTCAGTCTAAGTCCACAGTTTGAACATTAAAATTTCTTAAAATGGAAATATCTTACATAAGCATTTGGTAGAAGAACTTAGTCATTAGTACTTCTTTAAAAATCTTCGACACACCACACAATCGAAAATTTTACCTCATGGCTGGATGGAAGGTGTTGAAATTGATTGAGTAGTCATCAGTCCAGAAAACAGCGCTAAAGTAGGAACTTTTTTACCCTTTTGGCACTGCGTTTTCCCCATTTGTTTTTGCTTTTAAATAAGTTGTTAACTACCTGTCATTAACAATTGCTGAGAAAAACGCTTTCTACGAAACTAAAATTTGCCCCGATAAGAAACTCTTACCTAATTACTGCTTTGCTGAGCAATATTTTTACTGTTAATTGCTATTCTAACAAAGAAATGAACCGATACTTTAAGTATGCGTGGAAAGTGGTATTTTTTCAACTGATCGACATCCTGAAGGTTTTCTGCCTATTGCTGATTGCTGATTGAAAAAATAAAGGAACCGGTTCATATACTTGCTGCGAATTATGGTTATCAACGACTATTTCTCTAATGTATTATATTATTATAACCAATAGAATTCAACTTAAGTTCCACTCTGGCCTGTAAGATCATGTTATTTTTTGGACTCTGCAGGTGTAGAAACACTGATCAACTACCAATTAGCCCTGAGATTTAAGCCTTTAAAGCCCAAATTATTTTTTGAAAATGCACCCAACCGCACTCACACACGTCTCACAGCAGTCCGATGCTGCCGACGTAATGCATTTGGTGCTTTATCCGACGAAGGCTATAGATGTATCAAACAGGTTTCAAATGGCGATAGCGCCTTTGTTACGAGTCTAGTACCAATGGAGCTTAGTTTGAAAGAGAACTCTACGATCCTAAGAGCGTTAAAGGGTTAGGGCATTGAAATTTTAGTCCACTTAGCAGTGTACTGCCGTTCAAATGAATACATCAAGAGTCAAGTACTAGATCCTCATCAAGAAACTCAATTCGCACACTCCATTATGGTCACCTCGCCTTATTCTACATAGAACGCCACACCCCGCTATTTTAGTCGCTTTTCCGAAACTGAAATGTAAAAGCATTTCTGCTTTGCTACAGTTACCATGGTTCGTGGTCGATTTCAAAAATATTCATCCCCAAAAATTCCATATCTTTTATATGGCATTCGTGGTTTTGCATTCAAACAAATTTTATTGTTCTTGCAATTTAAATTGCCATTGTCATAAAGTAGTCATTACAGCCTCGTTTTATTACGTATAAAGATATATATTTCCAGCCCTAAAGACAACGACGGAAATCCAGAGATACTGGAAAGCCAGAAGACAGCAAATGAACTGCTATATATGTACCCCCCCCCCACCAATGGGGAATGCTGCAGTCAACTAAGGGGCTAATGATAAATATCATAAAGCCTACCATTTGAAATAATATATATATCTTTATTTATTTATTTGATGTTTTTCCAATCATTTCTGTAGATTAAAATAAAAATAGAGGATGGCAAAAGTACAAGTCCAAGTAAAACTTCGATACTTTCGAATAGAAGAAGGCTGATTTGGCATATATACAAGTACTGGGAGGATTCGATAACATTTCATAATGTTATGATATGTGACAATCATCTTTGTACGAATAATGGCCATGTGTGGCTTTGTAGAAGTCCTTCTGAACATTGTTGGCATCCATTCTTCGGCCTATGGACGTCAAGGCTGTATACAACAATGGCGCTGGATCAGTGTTCTCACTCAGTCCATGCAACCAGATACAAAGAAGTCGAAACCCGTGCTCCTTATACGCATTTCTATCAACTTTGTGGAACAAAGAAAAAAGTTGAAAATTCTTTTACTCTTGTGTAATTCATTAAGAGGTTTTGTTTAGGGAAAATCAACTTATATGTTGTAATTCGATTGCCTCAATTTGTTCTTCTGTGAAGTTCCAATATTTAGCAAGAGACTTCCATTCGCCACGATGCAATTTCCTGTGAGCGATGTAGAAGAAGAGAGTTTGGAATCGCCCCGCGTAGGATTGGGTATTGATCAAAAATCGAACTTTTGAACGAAAAACGCTGGAGTAGGTACTTTCTACACTTGGAGTCTGCCTGGCTGGTTGGGTTTCATTCTTTTGAAATCGCAATCTTCTTAAACTAGACATTTTTCTGCTGTCAACTGGATACGGAGGTTCGAAGGGTCCTGCTACGTTCCTGATCCCGGAGATAAAGTGGGGAGGGGAGAGAATGAATGTTGACCTCATCGCACAGAATTTTTAACCAAAAACGACAATATGCATCACAAAATCACGTCTCCACGTGCAGCTTCTATGTTTGAGCACTCTCTATTTATGAACTTTTTTTCTTTTACTTCTCTCGGTGTTTATTAAGCGCTAATCCTTTGATTACTGGAAAAGCGACCTTCTTACGTGATCAGCTTTATGAAAATCCTTTAGGTAAGTTATCAGGTCTGTCGTAAAAAAGTGGAGCTCCGTATTCTCTTACATGTTACTCCCAATCTTAAGTAGTATAGTACATCCGCGAGGTGTGCGATAGACTTACCTCTACGTGGTGCATCCTGGCCAACGCATACTCATACGGCAAAAGTAAAAAAACCGGCAGTTGAATTCAGACCTCAAGCTACCATGACCCCGCTGTATGTCATATTCCACCACTTCCACAGTACTCTTCTGTCCCCCCTCTCCACTTTTGTGACTTTGTCTATTCCTCCCCTCCATGAAGCCTGAAGTCAACTAAGAGGCTAACAATAACTGTCTAAAGCCTGTCATTTGATATAAATAAATATTCTCTAGCATATTTCTTGACAAGTAGCTTCGATTAATCAGAATAGAATAAAGGAGATTGGGAAATTACTTATTAAAATAGTTCCAAATGTTCAACTCCTGGATAAGGACAAAAGTTCGTTCTTGGATTGCTTACTAATGTCCATTTTGACCGTTTTTCTGCCCAAGATTTGCCCTGGTCTAGACATGTTCCCCCCCCCCCGGATCTTTATGAATGATCCTTAATACGAAGATAATGAGAAAAGAAGAGGAGAATTTGTGCCTTATCATTAAATTATTATCAAGAAGGATACATTAAAAAACAATTGTCAAAACAAAATGCATGAAGAAGTTGCTAGCTGAGTATTTTTGAAAATTAAGTGAAATTATGATATCGAAGTTTGTTTTAATTTATTCGCCTTCTTAAAACTCGTCTGTTTTAATTTCTCTGTGCTTAGATAGTGGCTTGGAAATGCTGTTGAATGTCTAATTTCCGTAAATTTAGCTCCGCTCTGTTCCACTTTGAATTTTTCCTCCACCATTAATATTCTAAACTAACTTCAGCTTCATTCAAAGTTCAGTCCCTCTACATTTTGCTTGCAGTAAAATTCGTGGAAGATTGGAGTTAGTTTTCCCTCGCCTTCTCTGATGCCAAGTTAGAGCCCTTCTAATTGGCCAAGAATTTCAAACCAAGCAGATAGAGTATTCATTCAATATTTTCATTTACCAATTTCTCTCTACGTTCTACTCTATCTACTCCACGATAAAATATTGGAACAAAGTTGACTAGATACTTACCTATTCTTGAAGGAAACGGTTCTAATCTGTTCACCTTGATTTAAAGCCTTTTCAGTGGCTTCCCATTGTTCCGATTCCTTAGTGCTTTCAGAAGCCGAAATGATGGAAAATTCCGATTCGACCTTTTGACCCTGCGGTTTGGTCATGAAAACGCTATCCTGTTCCCCCAAATGGTTAATCATATTCTTCCCAACACTTTCATCACTGTCAGATCGATAGGTTTCTGCGTGAGAAATCGATATATCATCATCGATATTGCCGTCTCCAACTAAGTTGGCGTATTCGTCCATAGAATCGGATTCATTTTCAAATTTTCCAATTTCAGTAGAACCACTTCCTGTGACATAAGTTGGTGCCTCCGAGATTGAAACAGAAGGTGATTTATTTCGAGCCGTGGGGGGACTGACGAGGTCAGAGGAGTTTAAATCTTCTGAGCCTTTCAATCTCTCGTTATACTCTTCCTCATAATCTTCATCCAACTCCTGGTCGCCTAATTCCCGAATGAACTTCTTTGCAATATGAGCGGCAAATTCCTATCAAGAAAGCAATGTTGTATAGAAGACTTTATACTTCCAAGCCAATGTTAACTTTGGTCAGTCTGCTTGCTCTCAGAAAGCCACACTTTATTGGGATTAATCATAAGCGGTTACCAAGAATATTTTTTCTTTCCATTCGCTTGAGATCCGGTAATATTTTTCTGTCTTTTCGCAATTCAGTGCTATGGTAAATTTGTGCATCTCTATTCTTATTGGTCAATATGCCATTGCCTCTAGGAGAAGCTTTATCAATAAAATGAAGAGTTATTTCTACTACCAATGGGTGTCTTCAGAATGAATAATTAAATTTTATTTGCAATTGGCATGTGATTTTGCTTCTTCTAACTCACTAATTTACTGTAATGGTACCTGGAAGATTTGTGAACGCAAAAAACACAATAAAATTTCATTTATATTGAGTGAGAAAACAACCAATGAAATAACGATTTACCGGTTTGGCCGCACGAAAACGTTCTGCTTTGATAATCATATCCACAATTCTAACAAATCCAGAGAGAGCTGAGAGCATAAGCGGGGTTTTGGCCGCCTGAGGAAGAAGCGAATAATTATTAAATTATAGAATGATCGGCATTTTGGTTGTTTCAAGCTTATCCACTTACTCGATCAACTTCATTAATAGGTGCCCCAGCAAGAATCAGAAACTCGCACACCTCAGTACTGCCCTGTTCAACCGCTGCATTAAAAGGTGATTGAAGACGCTGAAATAGTTATAAGTAGTGTAGGCTACGTGATTTAATAGCAGTTCTACTAGCAAATACATCAGTAGTGATATTCACCTTATTCAATGCCAGAATATTGGCCCCCTTTCTAAGCAAAAATCTTGCCGCTTCGACTTGATTTGCCATGCATGCAATATGCAGAGGTGTATTACCAGCCTGAGGTTAATAAAGAGGAAAGTTATCATTCATCAAAAAGGTGAATATGGTTATTGAATGCGGACTGAGTAGAAATGGACTTACGAAATTCCCTCTATTTATCTTTGCCTTATGCTCAAGAAGAAGGCTAATCATTTCAATATTTCCACGCTGAGAAGCCGTAATCAGAGGGTAGGGAGCATTCTAAAAGAAAGAAATTTTATTTCTGGTTATCAAGCTCTGTCGTGAAAGAGGATCTCTCTGTAGTACGGCAAGTCTTCATCGTCTTCTACTTCCACACATTACTCTGTTACTCATTCTAGGCTTATTGAACGACCTCGGTCTTTACTTAATTCATTTAAAATTGGCACATTCAGTTGCCCTTCTATCTCTTAACTTTGGGTTCAGAAATCCCTGACTTTGTGGCAAACATCTGAGTACCGAAAAAATTCCAGTCTATCATCGAAAGCACAGAGAAATACTAAATATATTATCCAAAAAATTCGTTTATCTCTATTCATATAGACAAATTATTAAATGCGTAAATAAAATACTTATAAACCGGAGGGGGGGGGGTTAAACGTAAACAAATAAAATATATCATTCAATAAAAAAATGAACCAATGATAGTAATTTGTAAAAGTAAGAACACAACTCTACTCCCTTGTAGGCCGGCATTTGTCCAAACAAAATGAATTATTTTTGAAACCCTATCAGTGCCTTTCTCTGTCTTCAGCCCTTTATGATTAAATGGGAACTGTTCAATGGACTGCTACACAAATAAGTCTTGACTAAACCTCAACACTCACTATGGCAAAATCACCTATTACGGAGTTATTCCCGAAGTTGGCAAAGCTACCTCAACAATACCAGGCTAGTAAGCCTTTATGATTATGATGTGGGGTGTGCGATAGACTTACCTCCACGTGGTGCACCTTGGGTAACGTATACTCACACGGCAAAAAAGTCTATTAACCGGCAGTTGACTTCTCACTTCAAACTACCAACACCCCACTGTAGGCCATTTTTGACTCCTTACAGAGTACTCATCTCACCTTTTACATCTGCAAATAAATCTTCTCATCACTCCTTCCTGCATTTTCCCACTTTAAATAAATAAATGATTATGATGTCATTAACATGGAGCATAGTCACAAAATATTGTTTTGGATACGCTGACCCTGCAATAACTATTTCGGGTTGTTGATTAGCAGAGA